GAGGAGCCAATTTGGAGATGACACCCTGCAAAGATGAAGCACAAATATCCGAACACAGTATACCTTAATGAATTCATTGAGTATGTTGTTGTTGTTGTTGTTGTTGTTAATCCTCACCAGAGGATATTTTTTCCATTGCTTTTCAGAGAGATTGGAAGGAAGGGAGGGAGGGTGAGAGCAAGAGAGAAACATCGATGTGAGAAAGCCACATTGACTGGTTGCTTCCTGCATACACCCCAACTGAGGGTAGGGAGCAAACCCTTAATCCAGGTACATGCCCTTGATTGGGATTCAAACCTGTGACCCTTTTGTGCATGGGCCAACACTCTAACCACTTAGCCACACTGGCCAGGGCCATTGAATATGTTCTTATTTATGAAAAAAAAGTATATATGAAACCATAACTCCCAACTATGTGAGCTTATATTGGAAAGCTATGATCTACAAAAGAAAACATTGGTAGAACAATGACTATATTTTATCCCTGCTTCAGCAAAAGCCAAAAGCATAGCTATCTTCCTAGCAGTGATAAATACCTAGTTATAGATTCCAAAGAAATTTCCCTTTGACTGGAATTTGGCCTGTTGTATAACCCAACATCCAGCATCATTAGTTTTTATATGTATAAAAATTCTGAAGTCACAAAAATATAACCAAGGCTGTACTTCACTATGAAAGAAACACCCACATTTTCCAATGCACTTCATTTGGAAATAAGATGAGCTAGTAAGCCATACACATGCTATTGTGCCATTAATAGTAGGCTCATTTGTATGTTATGTGAATTGCCCATGTATATCTCCTTTATAAGGTAGAGCATTTTCTTCACTCCTTGTGTGAAGCTCTTAGTTACATGACTAATCCCAAGTTCACACTTATTTCCAACTATAGGAAAAAAGGCATTCTTCATACCCCATCTGTTAAGAATGTATCATTTTGAAAGATAAAGAGTGTTTTAAGATACAGAGTAGTTTTATTCTCTTTGTAATTTGAATGGAAAAGAAATTGATTGTTGAAAGTAAGAAAACTTTAAAGAAAATTTATTTAAAACTTCATTGTCACCCGGTCAGTATGACTCAATGGTTGAGCCTCGACCTATGAACCAGGAGGTCAGGGTTCGATTCCCAGTCAGGGCATATGCCCAGTGTGCGGGCTTGATCCCCAGTGTGGAGTGTGCAGGAGGCAGCTGATCAATGAATCTCTCTCATCATTGATGTTTCTATCTCTCTCCTCTCCCTTTTTCTCTGAAATCAATAAAAAATATATTTTTAAAAAATAACTTCATTGTCAATATATGTACATAAATTAGCCCAAGTTGATCTAGTACCCCAAGTATAATTTATTTGCTACCTACAGGGTACAAAGTAGTGCATTAGATATTGAGGCCAAGTGGTAGCCTGAGACCATTTCATCAACTTTTCTAACTCCATTTGCAATAATTGTCCATACTTCACCATTAGCATGTATTATTGCTGACCAGGCACATTTATTGTTTCTTGTGCATGATCTTACCTTATTTTTACCCCTGCAATTACTAATGTTGAGTTAAACTATGTTTTAAATGTGTAGTGCATACATGTATCTAAGCAGTACAGTAATGTGGATTCAGTAGATCTCAACCAGACCAAATATGACTAAAATAGAGGCCCAGTGCACAAAATATGTGCACTGGTAGGGTCGCTAGCAGCTGCCGGCTGCCGGCTGGGGCCTCCCTCCCTTCCCTTGGCTGCCTGCCTACTACTGCCACCACTGCTGCTGGCCGCCACCAGCTGAAGGCTCCTGCCACCGCAAGCCAGGATCTCCATCCCTTCCCCAAGCCGGCCCTGCCCCCTTGTCAAACTCCCGGACAATCTCCCAGTTGAGGGGACAATTTGCATACTATGCTTTTATTATATAGGATGAATGGCTTCATTTGGAAATAAGATGAGCTAGTAAGCCATACACATGCTATTGTGCCATTAATAGTATGTAACATTTCTTTACTGTAATATGTCTTTAGACTGCCAGAATAAGTAGTAACTTACATGTATGATCCCCCATCCTCACTCCCAAAGCTCTTTAAGTCTTGTATCAAGCCACAAATGATCAAGTCACATGACTCTTTTATCTCTTTATTATCAGTTCAACTCAGTAATTTATTATTATTATTACTTTTTTTGAGGTAGTTGATTATTATTTTAATAATATGCACTGGTCCTCTAGTCTATATACATAAAAGGCTAAGTGACCGGCTGGTAGCTATGACACACACTGACCACTAGGGTGCAGACACTCAACACAGGAGCTGCCGAGTGACAGCAACTTTGCAGAGTGCCCTCTCACACGCTGGGACCCCTTGGGGGATGTTGGACTACCGATTTCAGCCCGATCCCCGCAGACCAGGCCAAGGGATCCCACCTGCGGGAGGGGCCTTGCTCACTCTGCAGATGGCCTTCAAGCCCCAGCGCCACCCTCGGTGTGGCCAGCTGCAAAGGAACCGCAGGAGGTTGGCTCCAGGGCGTGTCCAGCCCATCTCACCCAGTCCTGCCCCACTGGCCACCTTCTAATTAATTTCCTTTCAATCTGCACAAATCTGAGCACCAAGCCTCTAGTATTTCCATCATAAGTGAGATGAAGTACATTCAATTTTTAAAAAAGATTTTCTGGTGGAGTGGAATGGAGGAAATGGTAATGTTTCTCAATTTATTGGAACAGAAATGCCTTTTCATTTGAAAAATGTAAAATATACTTGCAAACTCTCCTTTTCCCTTATTATTGATTTAGGCTATCCATTGAATTCATAACCAAACTCAAAAATAAAATTCAAATCTATACCTATGCATAAACTTTTAAAATTATGTAATTGTTGAACACTTATGAAAACATAGTACTGTAAGTGATCATTCCTCTTCGTGCTGCTCTTAAACCTATATTATTTGGAAAATATTTATGCTGGCTGAAATGTCTTTGCTTTGAAATATTCATTGATAGTGAAGAATGAGATATCAAAGAACATATTGAGTCATAGTCCTGTGGCATTTCCATCAGAAGAAATAAACACAGAGTACATTAGAAATCCAAACATGATGCTCAAACATGTGAATTAGTAAAATAGCTATATCAATTTGCCCTATAACTAATATCCTTAAAGATATAAGCTTTCACCCAGCCAGTGTGCCTCAGTGATTGATCATTGACTTATGAACCAGGAGGTCACGGTTTGATTCCTGGTCAGGGCACATGCCTGGGTTGTTTGATCCCCAGTGTGTGGTGTGCAGGAGGCAACCGGTCAATGATTCACTCTCATCATTGATGTTTCTATCTCTCTCTCCCTTTCCCTTCCTTTCTGAAATCAATAAAATAAAAATTTTTTAAATTACTATTACTGTCCCCATTTTACAGATAAAGAAACTAAGGCTGTCTGACTTTGGGTAAATCCCTTCACCACCTTCTTTCTCAGGTTATACCAAGTACAAACCAAGTCCCACAGAGGAGCCACAACAATTATCTAAACATTCATCATTCCATAAGTTTGCTGAGCACTTACTATATGCCAGACACTGTTCAAAGTGCTTGGAATGCCTCAATGAATCAGACAGACAAAATCCCCCTTCCTTGTAGAATTTACATTCTAGTTTTAGGTTGGTGGTGGGTACCAGAGCTGTGCTCTTAGCCACTGTGTACAGCTCCCCAACCTAATGGACTTGTAAAATCTCTTACCTTTATACTAGAGGCCCGGTGCATGAAATTCATGCACTCGGGGTGGGTCATCCCTCAGCCCGGATTGCGAGAGGGCTCAGGCCAGGCCAAGGGACCCCACTGATGCACGATCGGCGCCAGGGAGGGACGCAGGAGGTTGGACAGCCGGGGAAGTGCTTTTATTATATAGGATATAAAATTGCTAATCATCACAAAGCCCTATGAGGCAGGTATACCATTTACTGATAGAAACTAAGGAGTAAAACATGAGCTGAATTTATAAAAATATAATTTTTAAAACAGATAAGAATGAGATTTTTTGCATTCTCAAACAGTCATATATTTCAAAATAAAGAGCCTATATCTTTAAAAGAAATTGAACCAACTCATCCAAGATCACACAGTTAATAAGTGTTATTCCAAAAATAGAGCCCAGATTTATCAAACACCAAAGTCCAGACAATTTCTCTACATTATGCCCAAACAAAAATATTTTTCTGCTACTTCCACTGTACCCTATGGTTTATTTTATATAGGACCCTGTCAAATCAGTTTGTCTTGGAACTGGACAAATAGGTCAGGCAAAAGAACAATGGGATATGAATATTTTTCAACATTGTAAAGAACTTGTTTAATGTTGAGAATAACAGTCTTTACCCAGTATGAGATAGTTTCCCTTTGTTTCACTTTGTTTTTTAAGGTTTTAATGGAAAGAAAATTTGAAAAATCTAATATACACTTACTAAATATTTCTAATACTGAAAGATTGTTGGAAGCTTCTCTTTTTTCTTCCCCCCTCCCCAAAAAAATATCCAATTGAAATTTTCACATTGGATTTCTATTAAGACTTCTATTTCTTTGTTCTATATACATCTAAGAAAATTATCTCTTACAGTGAATTGAAAACTCCTCTGAGAGAATAGGCCCATAGCCAGTAACTAGTCCATTAAGGCCGCTGCATAGGACTTCAGATTACATTTCACCTGTATTGCTACTGCTCCCTTTTGTGCAGTAACCTCCTATATATTTCACACCTCACATTCATGCACCTCCATACCTTGGCCCATACAATTTCTTCACCTTGACATACCCTCCTCTCACCCTCTGGGAATCTATCCCCACGTTCCCAAAAGCCACATTTTCCAAGGAACCTCTCATGATCCTTTCATCTCACCTCAGGGTTTAGAAGATTCTTCTGATATTAATTTACACAAACATTTACTCAATCACTCAGCAAATGTTTATTGAGCTCACTTTTGTATTTGATATAATTTTTGTGGTTGGGGTTTGGAAAATAACTTGAAGAAGTTGAAAGCTCCTACCTGGACAGGTATTATTTCCTCATTTAGCCTGAAAAGTACCTGAGGACAAGAATGTATATGAGTCATCTCTGTAGTGCCCACAATATTTAAACCCATTACTTGCACATAACAGGTGCTCAATAAATAGTTGCAATAAATGTATTTTATGAGCAATGAACAAAAAACTAAATAAATGAGTCAAGGTTAATATAAAGTTACCAAAGGCTCGGTGCACAGATTTGTGTACCAGTGGGGTCCCCTGGCCTATGGGGATTGAGCCAAAATCAGCTCTCCAACATCCCCCGAGGGGTCCAGGATTTCAAGAGCGTGCAGGCCAGGCCGGGGGACCCCACCGGTGCATGAATCCATGCACTGGGCCTCTAGTATGCATATAAGATCTTTGGTTAATCTCTCCCCATCCTCCCCCTCCCCCCCTTCCCTCTGAGATTCATCAGTCCATTTCATGTTTCCATGCCTGTGGTTTCTGCTCCTGTGTTGAGAATCTGCCCCCTGATGATCAGTGCGTGTCATAGCTACCAGTCTGATGGTCAAACGGTCGGCTGGTCACTTAGACTTTTATATATATAGATGATTAATACAGTGTGATAGAGTTAATAGAGTATGGTTTTTGTGCTCCCTTTGTAAAAAAAAAGATAATAATTGTAAAATTTTATTAAATTTATTAATTTATTAAAGAACTAGAGGCCCAATGCAGGAAATTTGTGCACTGGGGGGGTAGGGGATGTTCCTCAGCCCAGCCTGCACCCTCTCAAATCTGGGACCCCTTGGGGCAGTCAGATATCCCTCTCACAATCCGAACTACTGGCTCCCAACCACTCGCCTGCCTGCCTGCTTGATTGCCCCTAATTGCTTCTGCCTGCCAGGCTGATCACCCCCTAACCACTTCCCTGCCAGCCTGATTGACGCCTAACTGCTCCCCTGCCGGCCCGGTCGCTCCCAACTGCCCTCCCCTGCCAGCCCGGTCCCCCCTAACTGCCCTCCCCTGCTAGCCATCTTGTGGTGGCCATCTTGTGACCACATGGGGGCGGCCATCTTTGTGTGAGGGTGTGATGGTCAATTTGCATATTACCTCTTTATTATATAAGATAGGAATAAAATATTTAAAGTACCTGACAGGTCTTTGGTGTTCAATCAGAGGTAGCTTTTATAGCCACAGTAACTGTTCACAAAGGAAAGATCAGATATAATAGTGGGTATTTTTGTTATTAATAGCAAATAAACAGGATTTAAAAAGAGAGAGAGGGACAAGAAGGACAGATAGGCAACAAAAGTGGGCTCAAAACAATGTGGAAAGAAGTTCAAAAAAACAAAAAGGAAAATAGAATAATGAAAACAATCTACCTAAATCCTAAGTAGGATTTATATCACTATTTACCTTTCCAGTTCTAATAACGAATGGTGAAAGGACATTTGTCTTACATAACCACTTCTAGAATTACAAGATTTTGACAGAATCATACAAGATAGAGGTTCAGAAAAATCCACCTCTTCCCTGTTGAAACATTCTTTTTGTTATTTAGAACAGTAAGAAGCAGCCCATAAAAACTAAAAAGGAAATAATAGACAATGTAGAAACAGCATATCTTGCAGAGTTTACCTGGATTGTAAGTAGATTAGAGGAATGAGAGCAAATTCTAAAATTCTGAAAGAATAGAGGAGCCACAAATATTACCACATTTGTAGCAAACTATAATTAATAAATTCAATAATTTTAAAATTGAATACTTTTAAAATATGGATAAGCCTTATAAAAAGGAAACAATTTTATCAAAAATTGTAGACTTAAATTTAAAATTATATCTTATCTTATAGGCATAATGCCTGATTATCCTATAAGCATGTGAATATGGGGGTCTATGCAATTGAAATGCTGAAATAACTAGGGTGAGCTTACATGAAAACTAGGAGGCTGTGGTCCCACACACAGCTATCACCGTGATAAAACTGTATTCTGGTGTGGTCTGATAATTCACTTCCTTTTATTGAATACATTCCTCTATTTTCAGAAACATAAATGATCTGAACAAGCAATAGGCAACATAACTTGAGCTGAACTGCCCAGAATTAACCCCCATCACTTTCCATAATTTGAAATTCATTCTTTTGCATTTTAAGGGCCATTTAGGTCAAGAGTTCCTCATTAAAAGACAAAAATCTCTCTTGAGGGGGAAATCCTTATTATCAACTAATACCCTAGTTAAGAGCTAGCTACGAACAAAGCCCTAAGGCAGTGGTCGGCAAACTCATTAGTCAACAGAGCCAAATATCAACAGTACAACGATTGAAATTTCTTTTGAGAGCCTAATTTTTTACACTTAGACTATATAGGTAGGTACATTGTTATTAACTTAATTAGGGTACTCCTAAGGCTTAGGAAGAGCCACACTCAAGGGGCCAAAGAGCCGCATGTGGCTCTCGAGCCGCAGTTTGCCAACCACGAACAGGATAGGTACCTGGAAATGAGAAAACATGGTGAAGGCTGGGAAAGGGTGAGCTATAAGGAAAAGAAAAAGGAGAAGGAGCAGAGGGGAAGGGATTAAAGGAGTCCTGGTTGCCTTACACTTTCTCTGGTCGGGCTTTGGAGCCTACATATATTTGCAACCACTTTCTTGCACACAGGTAGAAACTATAATGGAAGAAAATTACAGAGTAGACTTCATAATACAAATTACACAAAGCAAAACAAAACAAAACAAACAAAAACACAAATCACCCCAGAAAGAAGTGAGACCTGTTTGAGATTCCATTGAGTGTCAGGAAAGAAACTGGCCCCATAATGAATTTGGTAGGCAGTGGAGGGAGAACCAGTGACTTCTTGGTTCCTGGGTCGATGCTCAACCACTGAGCCACAGGCTGAATTCTCACTTTTATCCCAAACGCCCAAGTATCTCTGATGCTTCTGAGACTGCCAAGGGTAGATATCGTTAGACTTCCTAGAACTGATTCGAATAGGAGCTATCTAAATCTTCTCTTTCTGGATCCTAAAAAGATTAGACATACAATAAAAAATGAAATAAATAATGTAAAGTGCTTGTCAGAGAGCCTAATATATTGCAAATTTCAATAATTGGTAGCTCCCGTTGCCCTGTTGCTAGACAAAATAACTGAAAAGTTATCAAACTTAGGCTTCATCTTGTCTTTGTTCTGGCTCTAAGTACCTGTACCAAGTTAACACCTAAGACATTTTCTACTTTCTGTCCTCATTTCAAATATGGGACATGTAATTTTATTTAATTCCTCTCGTATACAAAATAAATGGCTATTTTGAAGATTTAAAATGCTATATAGACTTCTGAAATTATTTTCCTCCCTTTATAGAGTAGCCCAAATTTGATTCACATGCTTTGACTGTCCTTACCAATTCCCTTTCTATGGAATTGGTGTGAGAAAAGAGTGAAGATAAGGGGATACAAAAAGTTCAGTCACTTTAAACAAGTTGATGAGTTTATTAACATTATGAATGTTGAGACATGAGGAAACAATTCTATTCTTGTCCTAACTTGCCAGGGAACATAAACTTCTGACCCTTCTAGTCTTGTGTCATGTTTAGATATATATCAACTCATGTGTGTCAGTACCTGGACTTACACCAGACTTCCAGATAACCCTCTGATTATCCCTTGAAGGACTCACATATCCAGATCTCATGATATTCAACTAACATCCATTGTCCAAAACACCGGATGTGATCAGACCTCCTGCCATTCATCTTCCAGACCAACTGGAATTCATTGTCCAGACCGCCTAACATCAGACTGCTAACGGTCCTTGACTAATCCTAAACCTAAGAATGCAGGATTGATAATTCTCAATCTTGTACTTCTTAGTATAAGAACTCTTAATTTTCCTTCTTTGGAACACTCCTACGTTTTTGCCTCGCTGCATTTCCATTTTGCAAACCATAATACCCTTGATGTCCCATGCACCAAGGGGTCTCGGGTTCAATTTCCAGTCAGGGCACATGCCTGCGTTGTGGGCTCGATCCCCAATAGGGGGTGTGCAGGAGGCAGCTGATCAATGTTTCTCTCTTATTGATGTTCCCCCCCTCTCTCTATTTCTTTCCCTTCTTCTCTCTCTCTAAAATCAATAAAATACATTAAATAATAACTATAAAGATCCTTGATTAAATATTTATCATTTCTCTCTAGCCAAAGCCTTCAGAACACTTTTTGAGTTTGTCCAACAGATGCCATGCCTGAAAAGCTAAATCTATTCCCACGATTCAAACAAAAGATGTCTCCAGGTTAAATGGCAAAATATTTTTGTTAGAAAATACTTAAGAGAAATATGTATGTGTAGAAAACATTCAAGCAGAAAAACCAGTAACAGTATACTGAAATGAAGGGAGGGCTGCAGAAGGCAAAAGTATAATCTTGGTGTCTTTCTAAGGAGAAGGTCAATGTTCACTGAAAGGGATGTGTTAATGAATAAAGACATTAAAGTTGAAATAATGCAACCTTGTGTTTGTAAGCAATATTTGCATTAGAAATGGATTGCAGGTTCAAGTGCCTTAAATAAGAGGTTTGTGGTGATATCAGAAAATAGCCTTATTCTTCTATCAAATTCATTTTATGGGGCCAGTTCCTTTCCTGTCAGGAAATGGAATCTCAAACACATCTTACCTCTTTCTGTTGACTTTCAAAAGGTTAAAAAAAAAAAAAAAAAGCCCTCTGGCCATCTTTAGTCCCACAAAAAAGTTCATTTCAAGATTAATATATCTCAATTCGCTTTGAACTTCATTTAAATTAAAATTTCTTTCTTCCCACTACAACATATCCAACGCCTACCATTGGGACAGTCCAGATTTTATCTCTGCTTTCTTTCTTTCTTTCCTAGTCTCTCCCAACCTCTCCCCACCCCACACACCCATCTCTTTCCTCACAACTGAACAGGCTGCTTCTGTCTCTTCCGGAGTTGAAACTTGTAAGGGAGGAGTTATCGAGGCAAGAAATTTCTTCCTTGCCTCCTTTGTCAAAGACAAGTATTTAAAACTGACTCTCAGCCCAGCCAGCGTGGCTCAGTGGTTGAGTGTCAACCCATGGTTATGGTTCGATTCCCAATCAGGGCACATGCCCGAGTTGCAGGCTCAATCCCCAGTGTGGGGGTGTGCAAAAGGCAGCCAACCGATTGTTCTCTCTCATCATTGATGTTTCTCTCTCTCTCTCTCTCTCTCTCTCCCTCCCTCCCTCTCTGAAGTCAATAAAAATATATTTTTAAAACTGACTCTCATGGCCACTTTGGTGAGTCTTTGGAGATCCCATCCTTCAGTCATGATGTCACCTGCAGAGTCCTCGGCAGGGTAAATGCACCTTGCACCTCATCTGACTAGTCACACACAACTTCTTCAAATTTTGACATGCAGCACACATCTTTAGCCTCTTTCAACTGAGGTCTCAAAATTGCTCTGTGTAATCCAATCAGTCCATAGCTAAGACAACCCCAAACTAGCTCTGGCTGGCCCGCCATTGACTGGGGTGCCACTACTTTTAAAATAGAGCCCTCTACCCTGGCCAGTGTAGCTCAGTTAATTGGGCATTGTCCCATGCACCGAAAGGTTGCCAGTTTGATTCTCAGCCCGGGTTGGAGGCTCCATCCCTGGTAGGGGGCATGCAGGAGGAAGCCACGTGATATTACACTCTCACATCGATGTTTTTCTCTCTCTCCCTTCCTCTCTCTAAAGATGAATTTTAAAAATAAATAAATAAAGTAAAATAGAGCCCTTTCTTCCTTCTGCCTCCCAGCAGATGGATCCACCCACAGCCTTTTACCTTTTAGACTTCCTAAGCGGGAGTCAGATACCGGTCCCCTGTGTCCGCCGAACTTCAGAGGACAAATATAGTGCACTCTGAATAGATTTAAAGGTCGGGCTTAAGGTCGGGAGAGAGAACACTTCACCCTGCTCTGAAATTGAAAAGTTTGCAGGTATCCGCCATACCGCTACGAGAGATACTAAACCTTCTGTAACAGTAATCTGCTTAAAACAGTAAGTCGTGAGCCAAAAAAAAAAAAAGAAAGAAAAGAGATAGATAAGTCACTGCTACAAAACTGAGCCCATAACTAGACCCTATACAAATGTAATATATGGAAGGTATAGCCATACGTTTGTTTGTGAAAAACCAATATTATTACTCTTACAAGATCCTGCATTAAATAAAATTGTTGTCACTCTCAGAAAATTATAGACAAGGCAATTAGAAAAACCAAAGGGTCTTATGGTAAATAAGTTTTACATCTACTTTACATTTTTTTCTCACACAAAAGTGACTGAATTGCAACCCACAACAACCCAAATAAATTAATTTCTTTTACCTTAGTGTTCACCATCATCTTCATTCACTGCTGCTTCAATACTTGTAAGATCATCAGATTTTTAAAAACTTCCATATTGAGTAAACAATATGAATAAAGCTCTGCACACTTGTAAGCCGGAGTGTCTTGCTCCGAATCAGAGCTGCAAATAAAGGACCTTTGTTTATATAAGTTTTAATCCTTTGGTAAAGTTTCTTTGGCTCTGAGGGTTGCATAAATCAGGTTATAGAAAAGATTAGTCACTTGGAGCCAGAAGCTCCTCCTTGCTGGTTTAGTTTTTTTGTTTCTTTTTTTTTTTTTAACAGTTAACCCTTCTGTTGCCATGGCTTATACTATCACATCATGTCAAAAGTCTACAGAAACACTCAGTTAATGAGTTGACTTGCCAAGCCTCCGTTTTTTTCTTTTGTGATTAAGAAGAAAAACCACAGACTTGTTGATTTATTAACTTAGTAAACTAAGATGCTTAAAAATTGAGCCTAAAGTTTCTGTGTAGCTGGATAACCTCAGAAAAGATGACACCCAACAGACGTAGACTTGGGAGCATAAGGTCACTGTAGACAGGAACATTCCTTCTATAGGGTAGCATCAACATTCGGAGGAAAGCACCAACATTTTTGTATAGCAGGCTGACGTGAGAAAACCAAGGATCACCACTTATTCTACCAATAACTTGCTAGCTGGTTTGGATGAATCAGAAATTAGAGGCCCTGTCAGGTGCTGAGGTGGTCGGATTTAGGTGGGATTTGGGACGGACTGGCAAGGATCGCCTGGCTTGACATTTTAAAGGGGAAACCTGAGACAAATGGTATGGGATGCTTCAAAGCTCCAGCTTTTAAGAGCCCAGATCCAACCCGGCAGGCATGGCTCAATGGTTGAGCATTAACCTCGGAACCAGGAGGTCACGGTTCTCGGTCAGGGCACATGCCCGGGTTGCAGGCTCGATTCCCAGTGTGGGGCTGTGCAGGAGGCAGCCAATCAATGGTTTCCTCTCATCATTGATGTTTCTATCTCTCTCTCTCTCCCTTCCTCTCTGAGGTCAATAAAAATATATTAATAAGAGAACCAAGATCCAGCTCTGACTAACTGTGATTCTGGACAAGTTCATTAGCCTCCATTTTTCAAGCTATGCTATAGGATAAATACAGCACTTACCTCAAGCAATAGCTGAAGTTATTGTCCTTTTATTCAGCAACTATTTGCTGAGTGTCTATTTCATGCCAAATACTATTCTAAGCGCAAGGGACATATTAATAAGTAAAATAGATCTCTACCTCATAGATTTTGTTTGTTCTGACTGAAGAAAGGGAAAAAAATAAACAAGTCAGCATAAGAAGATCAAGAGGGAATATTTTCCTTTTACTAGGCCTATTTAATAAATATATTTAGAAAGCTGTGTGTGTGTGTGTGTGTGTGTGTGTGTGTGTGTGAATAAATCAGAACATTTTTTTCTACAGTGTATTCTATCAACCCAAGAGAATACTTAGTAATTCTCAGATATTATTTGTACTCTTCCTTGGCCTCTACGGGTGAGACTTCTCCCATTGTTTTCAACTGTTTAATTTTGGAGAAGGATGGACCCCAAAATGTCCACCATCCTGCTGCCCTGGGAATTATTCAAAGTGGGCAGGGGGCGTGGGGCGGTGGGAGATCATGAGGTGGTGATCCCTCCTGTCACCTCATCAGAAGCCCCATGAGGAAGCCACCCTCCCTAGGGTGGAAGCAAACAAGCAGGGGGAACTCGGGGTGAGGACAGAAGTGGATACAATGAAGCAGGGAGGCTGAGCAGAGGCCAGATCACACCCAGTGCTGTGCTGAGCAGCAAGGAGTTGGGTTTGTGTTCTATCAGAAATGGAAAGCGATGAAAAGATGTGAGCAGGGAAGTGACTTGATTAAGGTTGTGTTTCAAAAAAAAAATCGGTTTGGCCACTGTGTAGAGAAAAGGGGGGGACACAAAAGGCAAGAGTGGAGCCAGACCTACTGCAAAGGTCCAGGCGCGAGATCTCCAGTGACACGGGAAGGGCGTTGGCACCAGCCGTGGAGAGATCTGTACACATTGTACAGAATGTGTTTGGGCAACAGACTGCAGAATGTACCGATGGAAGTTTTCTAGGAGCTTTTGCGCAAGGGAAATATTTAGAAAACTCTGTGGCAACTCCCCGGACAAGGGCCCTCAATGTGTCTGGCCCCCGATTATTTTCTCTAGTACCTCTTCTATTCTGGAAAGATTGTACACAAAATAATTTTCCTGACTTCGCTGGGCCTGGCCAACATACAGAAAACTAGCTGTTACTGTACAGCTAAAGGACTTAAAAGCTATAGGGAAAGTACTTTTGAAACATCGATAATTGCCTCTAGGTCATAATCAACACACTCTTTTTGCTTGTCTCTATCAGCCACCTGTTAAAATGCAGAAACAATGCCTCTACTTTGAATAAATATCTACCCAAGGTCATCATCCCTCCCTCAACAGCATTGAGACGCAGAGTCCTTTAAACTGTCACTGTTCCCTGGCTCTGTTCCCAATGTGTAATGTGACTCCTTAACTTTCAGTAGGTCTTACCACATGTAATACCACATGTAATGTTGCACCCGAAGCCCTCTGCATGTGCTCCTCCACACACGCCTGGTGAGTCCACCTGACACCCTACATTGTTCACTAAAAAAGCATCCCAGACCCTTCTTTGCGGATGGAAATCCAGGGTGGTCCACATCATGCTGAAGATATGCTTCTACAAGTCGCTAAATAAAAGCTCTAGGCCAGCATCTGAATCAGGAAAGCTGATTTTGGTTAGCTTTTTCGTGGGAGGTTTGTTTGTCTGTTTGTTTTGTACAGAAAAGACAGTGCTAAACTGCAAAGATTGAGCTTGTTATCCACTCTAGAAAGAAGGAAAGAAGGAAGGAAGGAAGGAAGGAAGGAAGGAAGGAAGGAAGGAAGGAAGGAAGGCAGGAAGGGAGGGAGGGAGGGAGGGAGGGAAGGAAGAAAGAAAGAAAGAAAGAAAGAAAGAAAGAAAGAAAGAAAGAAAGAAAGAAAGAAAGAAAGAAAGAAAGGAGGGAGAGAGGGAGGGAGGGAGGGAGGGAGGGAGGGAGGGAGGGAGGGAGGGAGGAAGGAAGGAAGGAAGGAAGGAAGGAAGGAAGGAAGGAAGGAAGGAAGAAAGAAAGAAAGGAAAAAATGCGTCCAAAGACCCCCAAAGCTATCCTAAAACATTTTCCGAATGACTGGTAGAATAAAACTTACTTCTGTTTTCAAGCAGCTTCAAACTTATAAATAGTGAAGGTATAGACAGTGTTCAGATCCCCCCAGAAAGGCATCTAAGGTTCTGAAAGCATTGATAATTCCGGCTCCCCAAAGAAAACAGAAGAGCTTCTAACTCTTTTTACTGTTTGCTTTCCCAAAAATTCTCATCTCAAACTGGCAACTGTGGAGTGTCATTTGATACTATTTCCATTGTCAAGAGTTCTGTTTCTTTTCACATTAGAAGATGTGGGGGGGGAAAAAACAAACTACTTTAACCCTAGGCTGGCCTAAATACCATCTCACCTTGTTGGCAAGCACGCTGTATTGATATCCTACCACCATAAAAGACTAATCATTGGATGGATAGTATAGAACTGGGTTCCACAAACTATGTTTTGGGGCCAAGTCTGTGGCCTCTTTCAAGTTTTATCGGAACACAGCCATAGTCGATTATTTAAAACTTACCTGTGGCTGCTTTCATAACTACAATGGCAGGTTTGAATAGTTGTGGTAGCATCTTATACCTCGCAGAGCTTAAAAGAGCCACACTCAAGGGGCCAAAGAACCGCATGTGGCTCGTGAGCCGCAGTTTGCCGACCACTGATAGCCCTTTACAGAAAACACTGTTGCTGACGTGTGATGGAGAACAAGGCTTCCGGGAGCCGTAGTGCCAGTTTGTGGTAGTGTCAGCAGAAGTTCCAGTAAAAATGGGGACGTATAGCTAAACAGACACCGATGTAAAATATTGGAATGAATGCATGTGTGGCTGGTGACCCACTGCCATACTCACCTTTGAACATGGCCTTTGAGATCGTGGTTCTATTTCTGAGTTGTATGTACAGAGGCTTTCTTCAGAGGCTGTGTCCTGCTCTTTCACGTCCCCCTGAACATCAAACATGAAACGTGTTCTCCTCGCCCCATTGCACCAGTGAGTGCTAATTAGTCAAACAAGGTCCCTTGCAAATTTTTCTGTGCCCTGTTTCTAAATGTGCACAGTAAGCCTTTTAGTAAGTCCCTTGTTTGGAAAAAAAATCCTTTATGGAACTCAGAAACACAGGATTTGATTAATCATAGTCCTTGATTCACAGCATGTGCTCATCACTGTCCACGCCTGCTATGTTTTATTTATGAAACCTAGAAACTTGTCAATAAACTACTTGTCTACCATGTGGTTTCCCCCAGAAGCTACCTCCTAGGTCCAAAGTCATCTAGTCCACATAGTCCAAAGTAACCATCCACTGGAATGTTGTGTTCATTGTGAATCTTTTGTTCATAAATCCCTGGCTTTCACTTTTATATAGTTTTGCAATGGGGCGGGGGGGCAGGGGAGAGAGAGAGAGAGAGAGAGAGAGAGAGAGAGAGAGAGAGAGAGAGAAGGAAGGGAAGGAGAGGAGAGGAGAAGAGAAGAAGAGGAGAGGAGAGGAGAGGAGAAGAGAAGAGAAGAGAAGAGAAGAGAAGAGAAGAGAAGAGAAGAGAAGAGAAGAGAAGAGAAGAGAAGAGAAGAGAAGAGAAGAGAATGGATGCATTTATGTGTTTGTTTTAACTTTATACAGAGAGTTTCAGACTGTATGTAACTTGATAGGACTCGATTTTTTCACTTTTTGCTAGAATCCATTCATTTGGTTGCATACTATATAATTGTGGTTCATTTGTTTTTGCTGCTGCATAGAACTCCATTGGATGAATGCACCGCACTTGTCATCTACTTTCCCTTTGATGAGCATGTGGGTTTGTGAGCACAGAGCTCCTAAAACCCTTATAATTTCTTAACGGATAGAGCACTAGGAGCATCTCTAGTTCTATTGAGGGGACTCTGGGTGGGTTCCTGGCTGGCTCCTGCTGGGGGCTGGAAGACAAAGCCATGGTTGGAAGCTTGGAATTTTCAGCCCCTGTTCCTATGGCGTTGGGGTGTGTCTCCCTCCCAGTGTGGATGTGTGCGCC